GGCCCCTACAAGCCAAGGGACATACACTTTCCGGACTTGGAGATAGCGAGCGTGGAGGTGGGCGAGCTGCGGACGTACTTCGACGACTTCGAGACGACCATCAGTCACGGCTTGGTCGTCGCCGCGGCTGCACCGAGCAACAACGCCTCCGAGGAGGAGGGACGCATCAAGGTCAGACAGAGGCGGCTGAATCACGAGCCGTTCGGCATCAACGTGACGATTCGGGCCAAGAAGTACTCGCGCGTCGTCGTGAAGACGTTCCTGGGCCCGATGCACGACGAGCACGGGGTAGAGATGGATCTGGCTACCGCAGCTAAACACTACTACGTCGAGATCGATCATTACGTAGGCACCGGTAAGTTAACCCGAATATAATCCACAACTTCTTCCCTACTTAATCAATTAATTTTCTTCGATCACGCAGTGTACAAGGGCCAGAATCGCTTCTACCGGGGCGACTTCAACAACGTCGTGGCCGACTCGGACTCGACCGAGTCCTACTATCGCAAACTCGAGCTCGCCGACGACTACCTGCGCAATCTGAGCCACGAGGCTCGCATCTCCGGCTTTCCCGCGAGGCTTCTACTGCCCCGAGGTCGTGCCTCGCTGGGCGGCCGACCCATGAGGCTGTTCGTCCACGTGGCTCCTCTTCTCGACGACGAGCCGCTCTATCGCGACTCGCGGGTCTTTGGCGCGGGTATCTACGACGCCAGGCCGGCCGGCTACCCCCTCGACAGACCCGTGCTCCAAGAGGACTTTCGCGCGCCCAACATGCGCTTCGTCGACGTGCTCGTGCATCATCGCGAGTGATGTATATCATATATATAGCGTTAATAAATGTAAATATGCCAAGTTTTTTTTTCTCCTTTCATTGAAATCCGGAGCAGTGGGTATTCTCAACGAGAGTCGCGCGATTTCCTCGCGCGATTGTAAAAACGTCGAAAAAACAAAAGGAAAACTCGTCAATTAAATTGCCTCTCAACGTCTCTCTCGTCTGGCACGCTTTAAATAGGCAATAGCACTTTCATTTAAAGACTTCGTCGAAAACGAGATAGACGATTTTTATTATTATCCTTCACTCTCAATGGCGCGCGCGCATTCAATTACGTCTCTCGCTGGAGCACGGGTTATCTCGAATTCCTAGACAATGCAGACAGCAGAATCAGCAAAAAAAATGTATATAATCCCACGTGAGCCGGCGGAGTCGAAGGTGAAAATGCTCGCGCGCGGTTTAATATACGATTCGCACGCGAAAATTAAACAAACGACACACATACGCGGCGCTGTAATGTGTGTTATATACGACAAAAAAAGCAACAACGGCAGCAGTAGCAGTACCGATCTTATGCAAATGGCTTTCTTTCGTTTATTAGCAGCTTCGAGCGCGTATGTGTGTACGTACGTGTGTTTTCACCTAATTCCATACATACACACGACGGTTAAACGTTTTTTAATCAACACACATACATACACACACACAGCTCGCAGTAGTACGTATAGCTAAAACAGAAGCTAAAGGTATGGGTTAAATTAAGTCCCGGCGGAGAAGAGATTATTTCCTTTCGGCGTGTGTCTAGATCGGCGCTCGGGATCTCTTTTTCGCAGCGCGTCGATCGTCAGCAGCAGCAGCAGCGGTATAATACGAAATAATCAAAGGTATAATTTTGAGAAACGACTTTCACCGTTTGCATATGTACGTGTCGATTGCCGCGCGCTGCTGCACTTTTTAGCGAGCCGATAACGACGATGTCAGGTCGCGCAGTGCAGCTGCCGCTGTACCAATCCACAGCCACGGAGGCACAAATTTGTCAATTAGATCTCATAACGCAGAGACAACGACGACGAAGACGGCAAAAAATGTTTCGAGCGGGAAATTTTCGCGCTAGTTTGTAATGAGATCGAGAGACTACGAGAGAGACAGCTTAAATATGTATTACATACATTGTTGTATATCATGCATGCATAATATCGGTGCAAATTGCGGAGCTATTTATGATAAACAAGCTTGTGTAGAGCGCAGAAACTCCGGTTACACAAGAAATCGATTTGTTATAGTTACGGAGCAGCGCGCGCGCCGCGATTACTTCAATTTTGCTTTACGGCCAAACGACCTCGACCCATTAGCAGCAGCAGCAGCCAGGGACTGTATGATCTTTTCGCGGGGCTTTCTCGCGCGCGCGGGAATTCAAGCAACAACAACAACGCGGAATATTATTGGCCATTATTATCGTGTCTTACATATCGATGACAAAAATTATATTCCCGTATTGCGGCGAACGATTTTCATCTCGTGTGTAGCGCGGCGCGTGCACCGCACATAAATATTAATCGTAATGAATTGGCCCCGGAGTTCGCGGCAATTGCGGCTGCTGTTGAAATGCGCGCGTTTGAACAATTATAATACTTATATACGTACACACTATAGCGGGAGGGAAAAGAAATAGAAAGTACGTTTATATATATTATACATATATACGAATTTCCACACATAAAAAGTTTTTTTCTGACGGTTATATTCGCGCGCGCGTGGAGAAGTTCTTCATCATTAGAATGTAGGTTTACGAGACAGAAGAAACGAAGGAAAGAAGGATCGGAGAGAGGAAAAAAAATCTTTTGCGGAAATAACTCGGGCCGCGCGCGCGCGATGGGAAAGAGAGGTATTTTTACGAGGGGATCGAAATTATTATTGAAAGTGCCTCGTAACTCGCGTCGTATATGCGCGCGCGGCGGGTTGCGTTGTTTATTCGCCGACGAGTTTCGATCATTTTTATTCGTTTGTTGAGAATTAATTTTCAGCTTATTAACTGCTAAATCTTCTTGTAGCTGCTGCTATCGTCGATTTCTCAACTTTGCACCGAGTTAAAATTTTATGGATTCCGAGTTTTTAAAAACAAAAAAAAATTACTCTTCGCGAACGTGACCCGATTTTCGGGGGAAAAATGTCAGAATTATACGTAACGAGCGTTCAATAAAATTTTATTATTATCGCCCACAAAAATTCTTCGTTCGAGAGTGAAAAGCGCGCGGCACATACGCGTATTTTTACGTATATCCACAAACGCAAAGTTAACAGCAAGTTTTCTCTCCGCGAAGCCGTGAGGATAAAAAATTTTAAACTGTTTCAACTTGTCGAGCCGATAAAAATGAAAGCAGAAAAAAGGACAAGAAAAACATTTCTAGAGACAGATCGCAGGCGCGTACAAAAAAATCTATTTACTCGCTCGCGCGTACGGAGTACATTTTATATATTTAAAAATACTTAGAGAGCAGCAGCAGCAGATAATCCTTTCGACCACTCCTCCTCCTCCCTGAATTATATCAAATGGCATTTTATAATAGTGCTCTGCTCGAGTGAAAAGTGAAACCGCGGCAGAATTTAAGCTCTTCTCTCTCGCGCGCGCGTACGCGTGTACGCAAAACACGACAGCTCACAAGCTTACACGTATATGTAACGTATACACACGCGTGTCCCTAGGGGACGACCTCTGCCGCGCGTCCGGTGATTTTGCAATTGCCCTCGATGCGTGATATCGTGTGTGTGTGTGTACTATCATTACAATAACAGTCGATCGTGAAAAATAATGCATAATATTCATCTCTGGCTCTTTCGCGCGGGTTGTTTTCATTTTTTTTTTTACTTTATTATTATTTTAAAATATGCGTGTACCGAGAAACGGTTGGAAATCGCGCGCTCGCGAGGCTCGCCGCTGGGTGACTTATTTTCCGCGCGGCTCCGATATACGTATATTCCCCGGCATTTCCGATTATTCGGAATCTATATACGTACGCGCAATCACAAGCGATGTAGAAAGTTCAAAATCATATATGCGTGTGTGTCGTACGTACACATCTGCAGCTGTATGCACCCGCGATCCACTACAGAGAGACTTTCACCGTATATAGGATAATTCCAGCAGAAAAATTCTAATACGTCCAATCTTGAAGCAGCAGCGGCAGCTCGAAATCACACCCTCTCGGCTAGGCGCGCGATTCTCGTGCGTACGCGATAAACGCGCGAGCGTGACTCCTTTGCGTTTTCTTCTCTCTCTCTCTCTCTTCTTTTTTTTTGCATGCATAGAGTACACACCATACCACACTGATCAGAAATGAATTGCCAGTCACGCGAAGCCGAAGTATATCGCGCGAGCGAATGTAATGAAAGAAATGAGACGTGTGGTGTCGGCGGCGGCTGCGGCGCATCATGCCATTTTGTAACGGTAACGTGCATTAAGGTCTATCGCGCGCTACGACTACTGCTTCTGCACGCAAATGCTCAAGGCGTCGAAGGAGAAAAATAACACGTATTTTTCACAGCGTGCATATGTGCGCGTAATACACGTCAAAAAGTTATAGCACGTGTTGCGCAATCGATCCGCAACGAATATATATGTACGCGGGTGTGAATTTGATTTCTTCGCGGGTATACATACAAGTAAAATCAAATTATTACTTTTATTTTCCACGCTATAAGCGCATAATGTTTTATTTATATGCCTCGTGACACGCGCAGTTTCATTCAATTAGTTGGACATTCATTTACATCTCTCTCTCTCTCTCTGTCTCTCTGTACATATATACATAAAAGTGCAAATGATAAATTGTGTAATTGCGCGTGTAAAATTGCGCGTGATTTGAAAGCTCCGGAAAGTAATTAAAGAACGCTAATAAGTAATAACTCGCGGCGCGACCGAAGATGCCGGGGAAAGTAGTAAAAAAGTAAAAACGTAGCTTTTTTGTCGTTCTTGAAAAAGTCATATCGAGTATTATTTGCGCATTTTAGCGATAAGTCGCAGTGTGGACGAAAATTCTCCCAATGACTCGAGCGGCGCAGAAGCCGATAAGCTGCCAATCGGCAAACGAACGATAAGTTGTTTTTTTTTTTTTATGCGCGCGCTCGTTTACACGAGCGAGTCTAATTTTGAACAGTTTTAACGAATTACGAGATCTCGAAGAGTATGTACGAGACGACAAGAAAAGACGTACAGAGACACAGGCTACAATTTCTTTTTAGATAATCTATCGTCAACATTTATTAAAAAATTACATTTTACAAAAATCAAAAACTTTTATGTACAAATTCGTCGTAACGTAACAACATTCATTTGGGTTTCTCGTTCTTTTCGGGGTGAAATCGCTCCACGTGCGCATTGTACTTTTGCCGGCCCGAGAACGGAACATGACACACCTCGCAAATGAAATAATCGTGAAAGACCATCATGTGCAAATGCAACGTGGTCCGATCTCTGAAAGACTCGCTGCATCCGAATCCCCTGCACACGAATCTTGTTGTCGTTTCCGCGCTGGTGCTGGCCGTTGCTGCCGCTGGTGGCTGCTGCTGCTGCTGCTGCTGCTGCTGCTGAATCTCCAAGTTGCCTCGTATATTCTCGTTGTTCGTCTGCCAACGCTCCACCTGGGCGTCCAATCGTTGATGGGCGTGGGTCTCCATGTGACGTATCAATTCGGGCGTGCTCGCGAACGAACCATCGCACTGGTCGCAAATGAAGCCGTGACGCTGGCGGTCTTTACGCGTATGAGTTTGCATGTGATCGAGCAGCTGCTCTAATATGGTGAATCGGGTCTTGCATACCTCGCACCTCATGACGACGTGCTTCTGGGCGACGTGCAAATTCAAGTCGTTTCGGGTCGCGAATACCTGGTCGCATTTTCTGCACTTGGCCTGGAGATGTTTTTTTTTGTGCTCATCCCATTCCCGTCGGCTCCTGCACACTTCCCCACATTTCTCGCACCGGTAAATCCCGTGACTTTTGTCAATTGTCTTGGGACGCACCGACTCGGGACGCGCCGGCATTACTTTAGCCCCGGCCACGTTGTTCTGTGCTTCTGGATCCTGGGGTATTGAATTCTTGATTGGTACTTGTGGCGTAGGGAGTATTAAATTCTTGATCGGTTCTTGTGGCGTAGGGGGTATTAAATTCTTGATTGGTACTTCTGGCGTAGGAGGTATTAAATTGATGATCGGTACTTGTGGCGTAGAGGGTCTATTCATCTGTACTTGTGGCGTAGGGGGTGTTAAATTCTTGATCGGTTCTTGTGGCGTAGGGAGTATTAAATTCTTGATCGGTTCTTGTGGCGTAGAAGGTATTAAATTCTTGATCGGTTCTTGTGGCATAGGGGGTATTAAATTCTTGATTGGTACTTCTGGCGTAGGGAGTATTAAATTGATGATCGGTACTTGTGGCATAGGGGGTCTATTCATCTGTACTTGTGGCGTAGGAGGTATTAAATTCTTGTTTGGTACTTGTGGCGTAGGGCGTATTAAATTGTTGATCGGTGTATAAAAGCTCTGCATCGACCTGTTTCTCGTGGCGTCTGAATTCTGATAGGTACCAGATAGAGAGTTATGAAACGGACCAGTCAGTGGCGGTACGTACGAATTTGAAATTTGCGGCGGCGCAGAGGGTGTCAGATTGTTCGTCGGTTGATAATAGCTCTGCATCGAAACGTTTCTCGTAGTCTCTGAATTCTGGTAGGTACCAAATGAATAGTTATGAAACGGAGCAGCCGATGGCGGTACGTACAGGCTTGAAACTTGCGACGTGGGTGGTATCGAATTGTTCATTGGTTGATAATAATTCTGCATCGTAAATTGAGGATAATTAATCCCTGTCGCGGCATTGATCGTAGCAGCGCCTGGATTCTGGTAATTGTCGAACGAATAGTTATAGATCGGAGCAGTTGGTGGCGGCGGAGTTGAAACTACTACATAAGCCGAAGAGTACTGCGGATTCATAGAGCTCGTTACTTGTGGTATAGGTATCAAATTTGAATAGCTATTAGTTGGATCGTTATAAAACAGAGGAGTTATGAACGACTGATGCGAGCTTGAAACTTGTCCAACAGATACTTGTCTAACGGAAGTAATTGGCCCTTCATCCAATTTCCTTTTTGTCGCACGACGAGTATTACCATGCTCCATCGTTCCTTCGTCTGCGCTGGCGCCGTCATTTAATGGGCGATCTATATTGCCAAAAGTATTACCACTCGAGCAAGACGTAGGAGCTCTCGAAGTCGTTTCTGTCGAATGCGTCGAAGCCACTTTTTCCGAAACCGGAATCGACTCTTCGCGACGAGGTAAAAGACTATCTCTCGTTTCAGCATCGTCGGACCTCTCGACGCTCGAATGAGATGCTTCAACTTTAGTAATCGAGATGCGAGGTGGAGAAATTTTCGCATCCATTGGCTCGTCTGCTTCATCGAACTCCATCTCGACTGTTGGTTCGTCCAAGTTCTCGGAATTTTTCATATCGTCGTCCTCGGGAAGTTCATCGCTCGAACGAGACGCATCGATTTCGGGCGTTCCTTCTGGCAATGGCTCGGCTACTGCTGCTCCTGCTTCGCGAAGAACATCCTCGGACGCTTTATCGCTCGAACGAGACTCGCTGTCTTCGGGAATTTTTTGCAAAGCTACAGGCACCTCGAGCTGTTCAGACATTGGCTCGGCTGCTTTACGCGAAGCCTCCTTGAGCAATAATTGTTTGTTCACCGTAACGCTTGGACTCGGCGCTCGACAAGAATTCATCCAATTGATGTGTCGAGTGATCGTTTGCGTATTCAAGCTCGCGCGACCGATCGTTTCGTCGCCCTCGTGAACTTTGACACTCGAACCGAGCACATTGACTTCTGGAGTACTTTCTTCGGCCATTGGCTCGGCTACCTGTCGGCACAGTCCATCCTGGAACGACAGTTTCATGTTTGCATACACAGGATCTTGTGTGTCATCGTACTCGGAATCCTCCGTCGTTTTTGTCGGGCTCAGTGGCGGATGAAGTTCTTCAAGTATCGGCGACGATTCTTTACGATCTTCGGGCAACATTTTTTCATCGGAGCTCGCAAGATCGTTTGTCGCGTCGTTCGCAGAAACTTCGCCTCTCGAACTAGACGCATTCAATTCAGCGTCCTCGTCTTTTTCGGCGCAAGCTAGAAACAGTTTCTTAAGCACTGGCTCGTGCGCTTCGTCAGGTTCGTCTTCGTGCGTTCGCTTTGGTTCGCCGATAGCGCCCGAGAAAGACGCCACGATCTGCGAAGTCCCCGCGCTTGAATTTGTCGAGCCCGCTGGCGGATGAAGTTCTTCAAGTATCGGCGCTGATTCATCACGATCTTCGGTCAACATTTTTTCATCCGAGCTCGCAAGATCGTTTGTCGCGTCGTTCTCAGAAACTTCGCCACTCGCACTAGACGCATTCGATTCAGCGACCTCGTCTTTTTCGGCGCGGGTTAGAAACAGTTTCTTAGGCACTGGCTCGTACTCATCTTCGAGCGTTCGTTGTGGTGCGCTGATACCGCCCGAGAGAGACGCCACGTTCCTCGATGATGTCCCCGCGGTTGAATTTGTCGAGGCAGGTCCTTCCACCGAATCTGGAACCGAATCTGATTCTTCGCGATTTTGCGGCGATCTCGAGTTCGCCAAGTCGGACAACGTGCCGTCCGCAGGACTACCGTCGATCAAGCAAGTATTGATAGTTAGAGAGGTCGTTCCTTCCGGTTGCGGCGAGACCAGTACCGCCATCAACGATCTCATCTGCTGGAGTTTCTGAGGCGTCAGATGATGAATCGAGCTTACACTGACGTTCGGACTAACTTCGGGACGAACTTCAGGAGCTTCCGTCGAGGCCTCGGGCTGAGTAATCGTTTCGGACATTGGCTCGTCCGCTTCGCGAGGAAGCTGGAGATTTTGAGGCGTCAGATGATGAATCGAGCTTACACCGACGTTCGGACTAACTTCGGGACAAACTTCAGGAGCTTCCGTCGAGGCCTCGGGCTGAGTAATCGTTTCGGACATTGGCTCGTCTGCTTCGCGAGGAGCATCGTCTTCCGTTTGTTCCTGTGAGCTCGCCGGATCGTTCGTTTCTTCGTCCTCGGAAACTTCGTCGCTCGAACGAGACGCGCGAACTCGACACGTTTCTCGTATGAAGGGTCGAGAAATTCTTCGACACCGAGTTGATCGTGGAGACACTGACTCGTCCGCTGCACGAGGAGCAGAATCGAAATCGTCGTTCGTGTCGTCGTCGCCTTCGGACTCTTCTGGAATCTCTCGCAAGCTCCGTCGCATCTTGAGTCTTCTAGGCGTTGGCACGTCTGCCTCGCGAAGCGTAATCTCGCTCATCATTTGATCGACCTCGCTTACCGAAGCTTGAAAATCGTCTGGATTGGGCACCTCGTCGCTTATATTAAGCACTCTCGGAGGAGCTTCCGAATAGTCTTCGTCGGGCATTTCGTCGCTTGAACTAGCCTCCGGCGCTTCGGGACTTTTTGCTGGTGACCGAAATGAAGTAAATTTAATCATTCGCTCTTCTTCTTTGCGAAGATCGTTGTCCATTTGTTTACGATCATTGGGTTCTCTGTCGTCGAAAAACTTAAAACGAGGCACATCGTCTTCGTTCGTCTTCGTTGAGCCAAGTCGCAGGGCCCGTTTTTTCGATACTGGCTCGTCGTCGGTTAATATCACAGTGCTCGAACTAGCTGCCACAATTGTTGACGACGAGGCTCGTCTTTTCAATTCTGTTCTTGGCTTAGATTTATTTTCTGATTTATTCGTCGCGCGATCCAAAAAGTTCGCTTGTCGATGTTTTCGGTCGGTTTTTCTCATTTCTGGATCAGACTTTTCGTGATCATCGTCCATTTGTTGACGCGAGCTCACACGATCATTGGGTTCGACGTCGTCAAAGTCAGAATCATTGAAAAGGTAAGGATACGTATAATCTTCGGTAAACATCATGGATTTTTTAGATACCGGCTCGTCCGATGACTCAGTACTCGAACCATATGTCTTAACTTTAGGCGACGAGGCTCGTCTTTTCAATTCTTGTTTCGTTGAGCTCTTGCTCGCTCTGTCATACATTTTAGAATTATTTTCCGATTCATTTTCTTTGCGATATTGTATCGGCTCGTCGTTTCCACAAGCTACATGTTTCGTCTGGGTTTCCGTCTTTGCATGCGTTTGGCTGGCTTTTTCCAATTCAGGATTTGACTCTTCACGATCGCAAGACGATCTCGGCGGATTCGATCGTGCATGATCCATATTTTGGTTGGGCTCCCAAATAGTCCTAATTTCTGTAATTTCTTTTTTACAATCATCTTTGTGCTCGGAATAAAAGTGAGCGTCGAATTCGAATCTCGTCGTGTATAATATATAATCCACGCACAAAGGGCACGTATATAACTTCATTGTTTCAACAAAGGTATGAACTATCAACGAACTTCGATTGAAAAGCAATCTAAATTGAAAAACGGAGTCGAAATTAGCAGGGAATTTTTATCTTAAAGTTAGCGCAAAGCAATCGACTCACCAAAGTAAAATTTTCTCTCGAAAAAAAGTAATTATTCGTCGGATTTTTCAGAGCTTCACTGTGTAACCGTTTACGTGAACATGATACGACAGTACCGTTTGCTATTCGACTATTCTCATACGTGAAGCCATCGTGGCTTTGTTGACATATTAGCGATCTCACGTGTGGCTTGTGTACTTTCCAAAGTGAGCAACTAATGGGTAAAATTAAGGTTCGTTCGGAAGATTTTGAGTTTTACCGACTGTCTACAACAATTCAAATCTGTATTTGATATTTTTCTGACGAGATTTATAAACAATCTTGTTAGACCACAAGACTCGTCGACTTTTTCATCGACGTTACACTATGACGTTACGCACGTCATAAATTCAAAATTCGTCATTTATCGTAGCGGCCTGAAACCTTCAAGGGAAATTTTTACATACACACCGTTGCACGCTACCAAAGGATATTGCACTACGCTAGACGGTAAACGAGTGTAGCACGAAACTGACGGACATCCGGGGATCTCATTAGAAATCGTCGGCGAAGAGAAATGTTTCCTCGATCATATGTTTTTTTTTCGCAATGATACACCCGATGCTTCTCTGCATACAGTTATCAATCTTATCGTTCGTGCGAGGAAAAAATATTTTCACTATCATCTCAATTAATCTTAGCGAGAACGATTATTATTTTCGGCGCGTATACGTATCAACGAGTATGTCCGTTCCGCTCGGCGTTTCGTGTCGTCGTAATAACAAATAAATCAATACAACGTTCGTATCATCGTGATCGTAGAGGAGCTCCGAGAAAAGAAAAAGTGAACCGACGGAAAAGTTTTTCGCGTTCGCCGTATTATTAATACTCGGCCGTACAAGAGAAGGAGAATTGGGTAAGTAGGTAACCTTGCGTGTGTGTACTGTGTGTATGTGCCGCGCGTGCAGTCACGACGATGATTGTGCACCGCGTGAAAATGAGCCTTTAAACGCGCCGCGTGCGCCACACGCGCTTTATTATCGTCGAGAAGCGAGTGTCGTGCGTTCGATGCACGATCGTCGAGTTTTCGGCCGCGTTTCTCGAACTTGGTCAAAGCGGTAGGGGCATATAGGCCTCGCTCTGTGTGTCGAGTTACGTGTCACATATTTATAATAACAAACACTCACGGATTTTCTCACGTCTGTCGCGCGGCGCGAGTTTCTATAAATTCAGCGACGAAACGTATGTGTGTCCCGAGGCGCCCTATGAGAGATGAGTGCGGAGGAGCGCCGCCGATGCTGCACTACATTCGGAGCGTATCGAAAGCTCATCGTGTACAATATATAAAAGTTGGAAAATCACCGCTCGCACTTGTGTACGTGTACGCGGGCAATTAATACATCATCTCTCGAATTACCGCGAAAGTACGGAACGAGAGACTGTGGAGAGAGAGAGAGAGAGAACAAAAAAAAAATTACGGATTGAACTCGCCGCCGCGGATTCCGATCGTTACGAGTAAATGGATCATCGCAGCTCTCGAGTGCGATGTACCCCATATCTCTTTCTCGTACATCGCGGATATTATATATATCGATCGATCGCTGCGTTGAAACATTCGAAAGATGCGCGAGTGCCTCTATATTATACATTGAATCTTACAGCGTTTTGGCTAATCGACGCGCGAAACGCACGTTTCGTTACGTAAAGCTCGTCTCTCGTAGGTGGATACACACGATTACGGTACATTTCACGTCGTTTATTATAATAACGCATATACGTTGTATGTATATGCAGCGCATATATGGTAAAACGGCGCGCGAATCGTGGTGCACACGTTGCGCAAAGATCCTCGCGAGCACGCGCCAGGCAGAGGCAGCGCTTTAATGAGCGAGGAAACTTCGGCTAGCGCATCGTAGCGCGCGAGATTTACAACGCGTATTAAATATTGCTGCTGCTCTTCGTGAACTTGAAACTGCGATCGAGAGAGAGAGAAAAAAAGTAAGAAACATTGGGGTAAATTTACGACTGCTATAATTCAAATTCACCGGTACGAAAACTTTTGAGATATTTGCGAGCTTGAGTGGCGGAGAAAGAGAGACGATAGTTGTTACGTAAATCGAAGTCCGTGTGTGTGCATGCGTTTGCAGTGCACTCGTGGACGCGCGGCGCGTGCTGCCTGCTACGACGATAATATAATAGTGGTTCTGCAACTTTTCATACCGCCGATGCGCGAGCATACCGCTGCATCCTTGGAATATTGCACAAACGCACACGGAATATTGCGGACGCGCCGGGGCAAGGACGTATCCGCTGCCACTGCTGCATCGGCACACAGTCGCACGTGCGAATTTTCCGTATTCGAAAATCATCGTCGATTTTTATATGTACAATACGTTGTATAATGTAATGCAAGGTGTCGATAAATCAATCCTTGCTCATTGAAAACCTTTTTTTAAACATTAAACAATGTATAACCCTTGGCGCGCTGCGCATAAGGACTTCTTACGAGCGAGGCTTTATCCTCGTGCATATCGCGGAGAATAATAGCGCGCAGCGTCAAATCAAAGTGTGATTAATGCGCGCGAGTAATTATGCTATACTATATACAGCTCTGGCTCCGATAGAAAAGAACTGCACGGCTTCTTTTCCGCGACTTTACGGTACATTATAATAAAATATACATACTACGACGGCGTCAGGCGTCACGGGGGACTCTCCGCGTATTGTGCTTGTGTATACGATCTCTGATTCACAAAAGATACTCACCTGAAACAAAGAGAGAAAAAAAGAAATCATTAGCATAATTTGTCAAAAGTCTCGAGAGAGCGAGAAAAATGTTAATTTCATTCGTATATGAATATAGGTATATGTATAATGCGCTTCGTCGGAGCTGCTGCTGCTGCTGCACACTGCTCGCGGGAGAAAGGGCAATAACCTTGCGGGAGACCGAGAGAGAGAGAGAAGGATCTAATTAAACACGAGCATAACAGAAGCATCATCATCATCATGGCTATGTGTGTGCATCGGCGATGGTCACCAATAAGCGTACTGCTATACTGCTTCTGCTGCCTTCGAGGCGAACAATGGACGATTGAGATCAAGAGTTTACGCTATATTCGCGCAGCAGACATGCGCGCGTCCATTAAACAGTAAAACATTACGCGCGGCTCGTGTGTATGTTTACTTTGTGTGTTTGTGCACATACGTAAGACCCGAGAGATTATCCAGATGCTCTACTACTACACCATTGCCAAACGCGAAATTTGAATTTTACACTCGCGATATAACAGAGCTGGTTGAATTAGTCTAAACCGATGCTGTGTATGGAAATTTCCGCACGCGTTTCGTACTCGCGCGTACACGCATGTATCCCATAACTCATCATAATTGCGAATTCTTTGATAAATCGTCCTTCCTCCTCGTTTTAATGAACTTCTCTCGTGCTCTTTGCCACACGCGGCCGTCGCGGCGCACTTGAAGCCTTGACAACAATGAAAAAAAAAGTATTAAAAAATCTTGACGTCGCCGTCTCTCTCTCTCTCTCTCTCTCTCTCTGCAAATGTGCGAGTGTGTGTATACACTTTCCCCGTATGTATATATACCGCACGTGTTTATACATACCTTTATGAACACATAACGTTTCGCGGCGCGCGTTCGAGCCTATATACAGAACGACAGCGCGAGAAGAAAAAGCGAAAAAAGAAAAAAAACGCAAGCTCACGAGTATTCGTGCGATGGCAAATCCTGTGTGTGTATGTGTGTATAGGCCGAGGTCTAATCCGACTTGACGCACACACCGCAAATGTGTGCGGATAATTGGCATTCCGCAGCAAACTAGACATTAGGACTATGACCTTTTAAGTACCCTCGAGACAAGACAGAAAGAGAGAGAGTATAAGTAGTGGTACACGCGAAATTAGCAGTTGAAATTTTACTACTGGAATGTTTTTTTTTGTAGCTGCTGCTGCTACTGTTCTGTTGATACAAGGTAAGGCGAGGGAGGCGATTTTTTAAATGTGTGTGTATGTGTATCGCATAATACGAAGGCGTTTTACTCTTCTTTCTTTTTTCCAGAGAAGTTAACTGTAAAACAAACGAGTCATCCTCTTTGCAGCGACGTATTGTAGAAATTAACCGAAAAGAAGTGAGAAATGTTCATTCTCCCTTAAGTGCACTTGATTTTTTTCTGCTCCTCCTTTTTTTATATCCATGTACAATCAACACAAGAAAAGTCAATGAGCAGCGCGCGGCCAATGTACAATGTACACGTATATAAAATCGCGAGATGTTTGCGCTCGGAATGAAAAGCACCACCATCGCACAGCTCTGAGAGCTCGGCGCGCGCGCGTAAAAATTTATATTGTTTCCGAGGCTCTAGTGCTGCAACGAAAAAGAAGACGAATAATCATAAAGAACGAAGTAACAAAAAAGGTTGGGGGGGCTTCAGAAGCGCAACAACAACAACAACAGCAACAACTACACGGTAAACATGATTTCTCTCTCGGGAACAGCTTCCAGGAGCCATCAATGACTACATCTACGACGCTGCTGTGCCCCCGCTCGCGCGCGAAAACGATCATCGTCTTCGAGACACAGGATATTGCACGGGGCTGCTGCTGCTGCTGCTCGCTTTCCGCGAGGACGTTACGATTCAGAGATTTAAAAAGAGCATAAAAAAAAAGGCAGAAAACGGGAGAAAAGCAAATTCCTATCGACCGGCCTATTGAATGATGAATGGAAAAAAAAGAAGGCGAAGAAGCGAGCGCACTTTACACCGCGTATCTTTAAATGCATCGCTATGGTGTTGCACTTTTCATCCGTAAAACTCATATCCTCCTATATGTATGTATATATGGGAGCGCGCGAACACATGTACATACATACATGCATGCACAGCTGTATATATATTCATCTATGCCTGTATATCCTTTCCCCACGTATACTGCGCTGTACTGCACAGCGTGGTAACTCTCTCTCTCTCTCTCTCTCTGTTGCTCGAGTCGTCGTCCGAGCACGAGCGGAGGAGGGCAACGCCCGAGATGGCCTTGCTCGCGACCTCCTCGCCGAAGAAATCGCGCGCATATATAGCTGCCGCTGCTGCTCTCCCCTTATGGTATCTATACGACGACGACGACCAACAGCAGCAGCAAGAGTAGTTTTCTGCGCTTGAATTGCGCCGCACAGCTCGGCACACGGCCCATTA